ACTAAAAGAATAGGTTTGAAATTTTATTATTCGCTGATTCGGTTGTTATTTCCGAAGAGAGTAACGACGTGTGAAATTGAATACAGCACGCTCTGCGCTGGAAACAATTGGCAACACCATTGCGGTAGTGACTGGATTAAACCAATTTACTTATCTTAGTGAACAGAATGTTTTCATTGTGAAGAATATCTCTGAGACAAATGAATCTGAAATCTGAAGGGAGACCGAGGTCTACTGAAGCGAAATCTCTCGACAGGAACCGCAAAATATGAATTCCCGCTTACAACTGATCTGGCTGATGCTGACGGTGGGGGCCATCGCGTCCACGACGGCCCTCCGCTGCCTGCACTGCTCCAACTGCCAGAAGACGGCCGACACCTACCACGACTGCGACGACAGCTACGACGTGTGCATGGTAAGGCGCGCTCGCTCGGCGCTGCCATGAATTGTTCTCTTTGAAATAGCGGTAAATGATCTCTGGACCGTCACCGTCCTACGAGGGGGTCCGCAGGATCTGCCAGAAAATCTAACGATGGATCCTGCTATCCACCGAAGGCGGCACGACGATCGATCTTTTTTTTTTTTTGGGGGGGGGGGGGGGAGGGGATTCTACGGCGGAAGTGCTGTTTGTGTCACCTTGAGGTTTCTTGTGAATGCCCCTTGGCCCTCCCTCTGTTTACGGCTACATTCCCAGGGATCACTCAAACTAAAATCATATGTATATATATGTGTATGTATGTATGTATACATACACACACATTCTATATATATATATATATATATATATCGTGTGTGTGTGTGTGTGTGTGTGTGTGTGTGGTGTGTGTGTGTGTGCTATCTATATATATCTCTCTCTCTCTCTATATATATATATATATATATATATATATATATGTATGTGTGTGTGTGTGTGTGTGTCAGTTTGATAGTTGCTACCAATGCTTTTTGACAAGATACACAGCGCACATTCCTTTTCCTATTGACCGGTTCTGTTGAGTCTTTGCATGGGAAAGATTTTCTTGCAATGTTTCAGAAAATCAACGTGGCTGGGCGCGTCGAGAAGCGGTGCGGCTACAGCTGGGCGTGCGGGCTCGGGGGCCTGGAGAGGGGCGCCGTCAGCATGTGGAACGCCATCAAGAACTCCGTCAGCGAGGGCGACCTGCGTAAGTGGCCTCAGTCTTCGCAAACTTTATTCACCTTGATCTATGCGTAATCAGTTGGCAATTTTTGGCAATGAGGAATGACGCCCCGATTCTTTGTTGCAGAGGCCTCCGACGCCCAGCTCATCTACTGCTGCGACAGGGACTACTGCAACGCCGCCGCGCCCGCGTCCCTGAGTTCCTCCCTCCTGCTGGCGGCCGCCCTCCTCGCCTACGCGCTGGCCTGAGAGGAGGGCGGAACGGCTGTCCTCGCTACACTCGGCACTCTCTCCTGTGCCACCTTTTCTGACACCCGTCTCTTTATTCTCTCTTTCTGTGTTCCTCTCCTTTAGTCTGATGTCTTTCTGTTCACATTTCCTTTCGTCCTTTCTCTCTGCGTCTTCTCGTCTATTGGTCTGTCTGCTATTTATTATTTGATATTATGTTTCTTGTTTTGTACAAGCTGGACGTGTTAACAGTAAAAGATTTGTAATTTGATTGTGCATAATTGCCACCATTTAGATGCATGCGCGCGCAGGCATCGCCATCTGCTCGTGTGACCAAGAGTGATCAGCCAGATTGGAATTGTACGAGAAGATCGGCTGGAAAGTGGCCGGGGAGATGGCAGCTGCATCACGAGCTCTCTACGTGAATGTTATGTGTCATACCGATGCTCACACACACACATATACACACATATACATACACATATATAAACAGTCGTCTTTGAGAGGCGCTTCGAACTCTCGGAACTCGGACGAAGGTCATTTGCCAAGAAATGGGCATCGCCGTCCTCAGCACGATTCGCGAGACGCTGCTCCTCGCCCCTCGCGACCCCTCCTCGGCAGTACCCAGGTCCGGAAAAACCCTGCCACAGAAAGCCTGGCCTTTGGTGATTCTTGTGAGATGAAAGTTCTACCAGTGGATTCCTGAACTGCATCAAGTGTCCGCGCTTGTAGGTGCCCTAGAGTGCCCAAGAGTCCTCCAGGTAGATCAGTGTTGTGAAACAGAGATAACCCCAAGAGATACCATAGCACAGCCCCTCCATTAGTCGTCCAGAGGGAAACCCCCAAGGATGGTTTGGGCTTCACGGCTGACCCGGAGGAGAGTCACGACCACTCGAATCGGCACCTCAGAGCTCCGCACTTCAGGAAACTTCCGGATGAACCCCCAACAAGTGCTGACGAGGACGTGGTCGACCTCCTGCGCCGCGCTGGCTCTTAGGTTCCGTGTCCAGCAATGCGGGGCGGAGCGAAGGATCATGAAAACAATTATTATTATCTTTATTATTCATTATGATAATCATTATATCAATTAGAATAAGAATAACAATAATAGTGATAATAATATAAATGATAATGATGGTAATAATATAATGATAATGATGATAATAATATAATGATAATTATGATAATAATACTAATTACAAAGTTTATGATAATGATGATAATGCTAACAATATCAATGATGCTAATAATAACAATATTATCAGTATTATTATTGTTATTCCTATAAATAATGATAATGATGATATTAATAAAATGATATCAATAACAATAATAATAGCACTGACATTAAGGACGCTGATGATATTAATAATAATGACGACAATAAAACAGAATAGAATAATGGCAAAAACAACAATAATGCTAATGGAAAGAATAACAATAATGATAGTAATAACAATGGTAAAAATGTTAATACTACGAATGATAATGATAAAAATAGAAACAATAACAATGCTAAAAATAGGAATGGTAAGAATTATATCACTATCCATAGTAAAGTACTAATATGAATAACAATGGTAAATAAAAAGATAACAACAAAGATGATAAAGCACTACTACTAATAATGAAAGAAAAACATTAACAATTATAATAATGGTGATGATACCGCAGCCACGCAAGGCCTCTTGGGTAAACGGATTGCTGTCAGAACAGAGAAGTGAGAAAAGGGATAACAAGGAAGCTTCTGAGGGTCGAGGTCAGGCTGCAGAGTCCCGATTCAAGACCCGACTCCGACTCCTTCCTGTCTCCGACTCCGATCGCTAGGCGCCACAATTTTCAAAATGCATTTCGCAGCGCTGGCCCAGGCACTGGCGGCGGGAGAGAAATAGAACGCGGGGACAGTAAAGGGTTTTTGTCAGGAATTTTAGGTGACAATTATCGAACACAACCGGAACGCCGACCGGCCAAAGGAAGCGAAAGAAGGAATGAGAAACATGACCAACAACGGAGTCCCATTCCCGTTGACAATGTGGTCCCACAGTCTTAGATTATAGAAGGCTTAATGTTACCCCACACAGTAGATGTTGGCAAAAGGAGGAAATGCCTCTCACGTAGAAGCTGATTAATGGAATCCCAAACGCACTGCACAGATTCTTTAATATTTTTATTTTGCCTGTCTAACAAAAAGGCTGTAGGAGGAAAAGCCGCGAGGATAAAGACCAACACCTATTTGATGAGACATCTAGTGACTGTCATGGCGTGGGTTGACAATAAAAGCCTACAATGTGCCCCACGTTCTTAGATTATAGAAGGCTTAATGTTACCCCACACAGTAGATGTGGTTGAGTTTGTGGAAAGGTCAGCGATCATCTGGAAATCTGAATTAATAGCATATGGGTAAACTTTATGAATAGTTAGCATATGGAGACGCATCTTTCAAGGTGACAATCCGTCATCACTGAAATTTATGAACTGCATGCGACCAGGGAACAAGATCTTGAGAAAGCTGAAAGCCGAGTATATACTGGCCACCATCTATCTAAGTCATGGATGGGCCTGGCCGTATTTGGGAAGAGCGAGAGGGAAGCAGATAGCTTGGTAAGAACTGTAATGATATTTTTATGGTATTTAGCACAGAATTGGGAAGTGGCCATTTTTAGAAGGGAAAGTTAAGTAAGCATAAGGGATAGGGCGTACAAGACAATCCAGAAAGCGCTATTTAGTAAGAACTGTAATGATATTTTTATGGTATTTAGCACAGAATTGGGAAGTGGACATTTTGTAGAAGGGCTGAAACGAACAAATGGACAGCCTCTTTAATGCAGTGTGGGCAAATGAGGGGCTTCAAAATCTTGAAGAATAGGGTAGCTATACGTCTGTAATTTCCGTGTCCTGGATCCGTCTCAAAATCTGCGTATTCTCCAAAAGTCCTGAATTTCAGCTTCCATCACTTTATACGCAAACACACACATACATACTAGTTAAAATAAATCTGGTCTGCAATCGTTATCATTACTATTACGGTCAGCCATATAAAGAGCCACACTGAAAAAAATCAAGAATTATACCAGCAAAGGTGCCAGTGCAGGTCAAGACAGCTAATAAAGAGAAGATAAAAAAAAATCATCAGCTACTCATTAGCTGATCTTTTAAACTTACCAGGAGCTGGAGAGGTTGCAATCTCTGAAGGCAATCTGATCCAGAGCCTTCAAATAGCTGTAGAAAACATCTAGAAATCTGAAATGTAGACGATCGACTTTCATCAGATGTCACTGAATTGAGGGTCATAGAACTTTAGTAACAGAGAAAAACTTTTATCGGGATGTGAATTACCAATTATCAAAGAGAACCTGCCATTAGGGTCTACTGCACCATAATCGTCTGATTCAGAGAACAGATACTTAATTTCAGAGGACCTAAAGGCCAGCGAGTTACTGTTGTAGCCATATAGGAAATGGTAACTGCATACATTTACTGAGAGTGACCTTCGTACAGATTTCATTCAGGTTTCGTTAACTAGTAAGCGTTGCAATTAATGCTAGTTGTACATTTTTCCTTAAAATGTTGTAGCCATATAGGAAATGGTAACTGCATACATTTATTCGCATTTGTGATTCTTAACTTGTATGGCAGACCTCTGTATTTTCAGCGATAATCTGGGCCAACAAAATACGGAAGATACTTTGAAAAATCAGAGAATATTGAATGCCACTCAGAAATGTTTATAATTGCACGTTTCTTTTCTGTAGCATCCTACGATTCGTGTAGACCGTTCATTCGTTGATGCAACGTCAGTGGACGAAGGAAAGGAAAAAGGTGAGAAAATGAAGGATACTCTGTGCAGTACAATTTTCGAGATACATCTTGTGACTTCTTCGCCTTTCAAAGTCCCATAAGGCATTGCTGAAAAGAAAATAGATCCACAGAAAAATATACATTGAAGACTGTAATTAGGAGTTCAAGATGATCAGCCTTCTGTGAAGGTAATTTTGCTTTTTTTTTTATTGTGTGTCAATGAACATATACAAACACACATACCTGAGAGTTGAAATTGAACGGAGAGAAGAGCAAATGCATGAACAATGTGTAAGAGAGACCCGGGGGTTAACTGGGACGCGACATGGCAATGGCTGACGAAAAACGACCTCGAGTGATGCAGAAGCAAGCTCTCATGACAAATTATACAAGGTCCCATAATGAGACGTCCACCGATTCTCTTTTATTCAGAATAAGTGGGGGAACCGAAGATAGCATACCATCGGATCAGCGAGCGAGGGAAACTAGAACAGCGTGGACACAAACGACCCGTCAACGCTGCGAGCCAAGTTCAAGAGTAGCTCTAGCCAAGGGCCGGGACAGAGGCAAACGGCAGATGGCATGGACATGGGCCCGGTATGGCTGCGAACTGTAGCTGAGTATTTTACGGGACACTGTGTGCAGGCGATTGGATTACGGGGGTAAGGAACCTGGCATTGCGGTCAGAGATAAAAAAGGGAAATGCCATATACCAAGACAGTCTGTGGATTGTAAACCATGGACACGGTGGCTGTTAAACCTTTGGAAGTGACTGCTGTTACGACAGAAAGGCCCCTGATTGGTGCCCTGGCATGTGTGGTGAAGCAAACAAGATGGCGCCTTGACACGATAAAGCCACTCAATTAGGTCCGTACTTATTACCCGGAAATGACGTTTATATGCGCATACGCATGCGTGCCGTACGCCCAACCGCGAGAAATCGGATACGGCTGCGTAACTCAGCCTAAACCTTTTGTGATTGGTGCTCGTTGGTTCATATAAAAAAATGTCTTGTGTTTATACATAAACCTGCAGTTAAGGTCAGGTTAGCGAAAATCCAAAAAAAGAGAAAGAAATGCACATCTTGGGACAGCAAATGGTTTTATAAAGGAAACAAGATAATACACATTAGGAATCTTGACAAAGCACTTCAGAGTCACAGATGAGAAATGATAATGGTAATAGTAATAATACTAATATTAATAATAATGATAATAATAATGATATTTATAACTATGTTAATGATAGTAATAATAATAATGATAAAGATCATAATGGTAATAACAATAGTAATAATAACAGTATTCATGATAATCAAAATAATAATAATGATAATGAATAACAAAAAATGAGATTATTACGATAATAATAACAAAAGTGATGATATCAGTAGTGATAACAGATTGATTGATAGTGATAACAATATTGCTGATATTGATAATGATAATGCTGGTGATAAAAATGATAATGAAGATGATAATAATGATAATAATAATAAACGAAATTAATAATGGAATATAATACAAAATAATAATAACGGTAACAATGAAACTAATAATACCTAGCGCGACCGTAGATATTCCACGGAATATGACAAGAAATATTCCTACCTCCCGCGTCATTTTTTTCCTTTTTCCACTACCCCCCCATCCCCTATGCCTATGCCTTGTTCCCTGTGTCTCTCTCTCCCCTGTTTTCTTAAGTCCCCTTCTTCTTCCCCTCTCCCTCCTACCTTTCTTTTGCACCCGTAGATAGTGGTGTAAATGATAAAAGGGCATAAACACGGCCTAACTGGGTTAACCTCTTCCGGCGACTCCTATCATGTAACTCTATCGCGACCCGTCTGTTGAGAGTGTGTTGGCTTGTATTATATATTATTTTGTTACATTTATATTATTCAGCAATTCTACACGTATTTCGATAAATAAAACTCCTCAATTACGGTTATATTTAATTTAACTCAAGTTTCGTCTGAATTCAATGGGTTTTTATAACACTGAGCAGGCGGAGACACGTCTGATACAGGATTTGCGGTCTGGACTGCTGCATTTTATATTATTGTGGAATAATCAAGCAACATTTAACCATTAGTCCTCAACCAATATGTAACTACGTATATGCTGAAAACATCAAACTCAAGACCTGACCACGTCTGGTGTCTGGGAAAGGCTGCTGGTCTCCAATGCAGTCCTACCTCGAAGGAGATTGATGATAATTGTAATGATGATGATAACAAGAGATGATGAAATGACGATGATGATACAAGTAATGATTACCCTTGTTTTTTATTTCTATCTTAGAATAAATGTTTTTACCTGATGGAATAAAATCCTACAGTTTGAACAAATTCGCGAAAATAAAACCCGGCGAAGGTGAGCTCCCGTGAGTCCCGACGCGAAATTTAAGTGTTTCGAAATCGATCTAGTTTGTGCGACGTGGCGAGGCAGGAAAACCAAAATTCCCCTAAAGTTCTCATTATTTTCTGGCTATGAGGTGGAACCATGAGGTGGAGCTTCCTCATAGTAGTGGTAGTAAGTGGTAGCTTGGTACTCGGGCAGGATGCAGGAGGCAGCATCGAAAAGGAGGCGGAAAAGAGCCCAAAAGACGAGGCTCAGGAGGCGGGTCCCAAGGCTCAGGTGAACCAGCCTTCGTCGAGGAATTCGTCGGATTTCCAGGTATTTCACCTTTGAGTCTTCTTTGAAAGGATATTCTTGTGGATTTTGGCATTTCTGCCTCAACCACTAATTCTTGTTGAATGAGTTGTTGATAAGTAAGATTATAGAGTTGTACCTGGATGTACGGAATGACCTCAATGTTTACAATATATATTATTAAATGCCCTATTTATTTGATAGTAAAGATCATGACTTTTTGACATCATAGTAATATGCTGTTAAATCCCTTCCCTCCACAGTCGTATCCTCAATATTTACAACCGTAGTCTAAATGTTCACAAATTAGGTCATCTAGAAAGTAAACAATTAAATATTCCAAACTTTTTGTTCCCTCGAGTGCACTGACAAGGATAACAAAGATCTTGTCTGTGCAAAGATACCCACTTAAAGTTTTTCAACACCAGCAAAAAGAACGTTTGAAATGTAGGAATTGTTCAGCAAACGGACCCATAGAGTCATGTCAAACGGCTGGTTTGTTAAGATTGTGTGAGGCCTAACCCAATAGATATTAAGATATATGGACATGCATATACAAGGAAATAAATGCATATCTATCATTAGACCTGCTTACCTACCACATAAGTAGATTGATGGATGTATACTTATCAGAGAGATAGACATGCATTTATTTGTTTGTGTATGCATGTTCATTTTCATGGCAATACTAATTAAGGCAGCTGCACTACATATACTGAGGAAAGTACCATAGTATTATTGACCATTGTTCGTACATGTTGGCAAAGTTAATAAAGTTGTAGGGACCTCACAGGCTGTGCTTTAATTGAAATTCAAAGGTTAAGGGTGCCTCTCTAAGAATCCACAAATCTTGTTGGCTCAAACTGTCTCAAATTTGAGCAATACTTGAGCTTCCTGAGAAGTACAGCAAAATACTTCTTGGAGAGGGGTCCGGGGGGTCGCCCCCGATAGGGGGTCAAGAAGGTATGCTTCGTTTGTATGGTGAAATATCCCCAGGAAAGGGGTAAGGAAATACCCCAGGGAAGGGGATCCGGGCTAGGTTAGGTTAACACATTTTGTTGGGATTTCGGCAACACTGACACCGGCACGGCGCATCTTGCAGTGGCACCAGACTCTTGTGTGTGTGCCCCCCCTTCAACCCCGATTCTCCACGGGTCCCCCAAAATTAAAGGGGGTAGAAGAAAAAAAAAACAAGTAGGCATAACTGTCTTACTTAGAATTACCATTTTTATGGATATTTATTGGGTTGGACCTCGCACAGTTTTAACAAACTGGCCAATAGCCTCTGCATTGTGTGCCAGCAAAAGCCAACATACCAGAACCATGTATTTTCAGAAAGATAGAGTTTGGCAAGAATGGCAGGGGTTGTCTTGCCAGGATATACTAGGTGGAGGTTACTTGTCTTTGCAGGAGCAGGAATTATGGGAGCTATGCCTTGCGAGACATTCTAAGTAATTTGGCCTTGCTCTAGAGCATTGGTTCTCAAACTAAGCATTGGAAATATCGGGGGGGCCGATGAGGCAAAAGGGGTGGTATTTGGGGTGACAGGGAGGCATTAGTAGCAGATAGTAAATAACTCTTTGTATTTTTAGAAAAGTGTTACATAAGTTGGTTTATTAGATTAGATTTTAGGTAATTCTTTACAGTACAGATGCACTCAATAACTCCAGGTCATAACATATTTTCACCAATCTAAGTTGCAGGATTGGAAATACCCTTAGGGCACTGCAAGATAGAATTAAAACAAGGTAGACAGGCAGTGGTTGACGCTTTGTGCAATCCTTTTCTTTTGTTTATGGTGTTACCATTTAATTTCTGCAGGTCATTTCTAGTACAGACAATTAAGCGTTTAGTCCACTACAAGAATATCATGGCACTAGGACTCCACCTGGAAGCCAAGGGGGCACCAGCCTGGAAAAGTCTAGGAACCTCTGCTCTAGAGTAAATCTTGGGAGGAGATGCAGAAAAATTGTGGTATTGCCCTTAAAGTACACATAAAACAGTACTATGATATATGTATTTCTAGTAGAAATATATATGTAGCTAAACCATTAGACCTTGAAATGTGGTGCATTATTGACGTATGCATTTATAGAGTATCAACTTGCATTCTGTGTTTGCATATATCAGTTAAATTTTACAGTATTGACACACTATAAGGTCAACTGAAGATGTTATGCATGTAGAGTAAAAAGTTGCAGTTGTGGGTACAAGAAACATTATGCAGACAAGAACGGTAATGCCACAAACAAAAGAAAAAGGTCACGGAAATTACAGCCCATGGCCTAAGTTCACTCACTGATACCAAGTTTCAGCTCTTTTGTGCCGTGCATACTGAGGTTAAGACAATGTTTACTGGGGAATGTAGGGGGCCAAAGCCCCCCATCAAGCCTCCCTTCAGTTAGTCACCCAATCACAGAAACTTAGATTGTTGAAAAAATTTTGTGACTTGGGGGAGTGTGTCTATATTGTTTAGAATTACCCATATAACATATATTTTGTCAGTTGATTTTTTCATAGCTTTTCATTTTATAGTCATTCTTCTTTCTTTTTTTTATAAGCTTATCTTGATACTTTTCACAATATTGAGCAGTATAAGTAATTTTTTTGAGAAAAAGGTGTGGTAGTTTTCTTTATATTAAAATATTGAAGTAGTATGAATGCATGCAGAGTTTATGTTCACTGGATAATGATGATGGTAATAAAAGATAGAAAATTCAATTTCAATTGGTTGGAGTCTCAAAAGTTAGATATATATACAAACATACCTCTGTAACTCCAAACTTTCCTTGTTCTCATATGTTTCATTTAGGTACATATTTATGTATTTAGGTACATATTTATGTATTTATGTACATATAATTATGTATAAATGTATGTGAGGATGTGTGTGTGCTTGAGTGTGTGCATGTGCATCTACTCAGTAGTTGTTGAGATCATTTGAGTAGCGAATGGGTATTTAAATCATTTTTATTTATTTTATACAGACTGGTGATGGAAGAAACAAGAGCAGCATCTCAGCTGATGCTGCTGCAGTTACAACAACGGAAGCTCCTCATTTGGGCCTCCACGTAGGGAACAGCAGTATTGACAATGTGTGCAACATAACAGTGGAAGATTACAGCAAATTGACAACATTCTATCCCCAGCACTGCAGCAAGGATGCAGAGCCAGAAGCACCAGAGGCTGATGGGTAATTAATTATTAATGTACCATACCTTTATTTAACCAGTTATCCATGCTTTAGTGTCCTGCTTGTTTTTTTCATCCATTGGCACTACAAAATTGTACTGTCTATTGTAACTTTAGTAATGTGAATTTTTTTGAAATAGATGGCTCCAGAAGTGCTCTAAGCAGTCTGTCAGTAAGCTTACCTGACCATATTTGATATCCCTTGTCCTTGAATTTTCAGAAAAGTTATTTTTCTAATGCTGGTAATATCTTTATCATTTATATTATTATTGTTATCATAGACATTTGAATTCTTGTAATGTTATTATCAGTACAGAACGCAGTAAGAAGTGAAAAATTGAAATTTTTTAGTATTTTATGATTAATAAAGCATTATTAAGACACTGATAGTAGTAAAAAAAAAAATCTCCAGAAATCAAGGAATAGTTTAAAAGGTAAGATAGGGAAGACTAGTAAGTGATTACTAGGTGACCAATTACTTATGAAGCCTTCTATTTGTAAAAAAATCAGCAAACTAAATCGGTAAACTAAAATCACTGTGGATATGGTGTGTATGTCACAATATTCTAGCAAAAAGTCAAAGTCATACTTTGGGATCATTTTTGCCCTTGAATGAGATGTGAGCATTCGTGGTTATGATGGCATGTGTTATCATTGTGACAAAAGTAGGGTAGGCATAAGTGAGAATGGTTTCATAATTCAAGGTATAGTAACTGATATTTCAATTATGAATATTCATCAATATTCTATATTTCTGATCATGTTGCAGTATTGAAAAATGTGCCTTGCTTTCAGGGGGACTGTGGACACAGATTCCTCAAATGAAACAGTCTCCTGCCAGTCCAGTGTTGATCTGCCTGCTGTTGGGGCTGCTGAGCAAGAACATTTGTCATCGCTCTCAATTTTCCTCATCTTGTGTGTCTTGGGTAAGATTACTAGTTCATATTGCATTCATTTAGTACTTGGATATTAATGACTTTTTGGTGCAGGCTTGTAGGTCCAGCCCACACAAATACTTGTGTACAGTTTCAAGACACCTTGCCTTCACTTTTCTTATGCATGAGTACATTTTGTTGTAGCAAAGAATTTTTTCAAGGTGTACTGCAGTATTGTTACCATTTATCCTTTAATTGCAGTTACGAAATATAACTTGGATAAAAGATATTCCTCAGCTTATCTTACACACAGTCTATGAGCATTATAGACCTCTGTAACGCATACAGATCCGGCTGATATTTGAATTAGGAAAGCCAGGGATTATATTATGAATCAAAATTGAGAGTAACCCGAGATATAGTTATGCTGAATTTTGTGAAGAGAAAATTATGCATTATGTATATGTATTACAAAAAGCACCATTATCATATTTGAAGTTAGTTTCAATGTCCAGAAACATTAGTCATTTCATTTATCAATATTTCACTTTGCAGCCATGTGTGTCATCCTGATCTTCTTCCTCTTGAAAACCAAGTTGAATTACTTACCTGAAAGTG